GAGCTTTTGAATGGCTTTAGATTCTTCAAAACTGGCTCAAGATACAATTAAACTTTTTGACATGCTTTACCTTTAAAATTCCTAGCCTAAAACATAAAAGTACACGATTCTCCACCATATGAAGAAAATGTCTTACTGTACCATAAATATAAACGTGTTTTATCTATGCCATCATCATGCCCATCAAGTTTTTATTAGACGGTTTCTAATATGAGTAGCGGCTTTATCGTTAGATGTTATGACTCGGTGCCTGTCAAATTACTACGGATTGTGGGTTTCTTTTTAATATGCTGACTCTCGTGCCATCACTCTGATAAAACTTTAGCCAGAAAAGAAGTTTAAAAAGTAAGTTAAAGATATATAAAAGTAAGTTAAAGGTAGATAGATACGAGATTAGTAAGGAAAGTATGACCCTACCAACGAAACGTAGAATCAAACGGATTAAAAATAATGCAATTTTTCGACGCACGCAAAAAAGAGAATGTTATTTAAAGTTATTTTTCAACAAAAAGTATTGTTCTCACATAGGGCTTTCGATCAGTCTACTGAGGATGACTAGAGTGACTGGTCGAAAACTCTAGGCTAGAAAAAATATCATTATTCTTTGTGTCGAAAAAAAAAAGCTTTAGCTTCATAGTATTACATAAAAATACCAACATGAACTTTTGCAACTCTTCTTAGATAGTAAAAGAGAAGGTTGTTACTTAAATTTAAGAACCTCACATCAAGATGGCTGCTGCGAAATCCAAATGTTCAGCTATCATTTTCAGACAGGGGATATAATAAAAGTTTGACATTGCGTTTGCTAACTGCTATAACCAAGCCAGAGAGCTTAGTGCAGAGACGGGAAAGGATTTGTCTTGGCTCAGTGTGTGGCACTTTTATTGCCTTTATTGCTACAGATTCTAAGAGTATGGTTTTATCAGTGACGCAGTGTAATAGCTCTTCAGATAGATCGCAAGAGATGAAATTGGTGCAGTGAATTAGCCTACTCTAATGTTGTTTCTTACCCCGGAAGAGGTGAATGTTTAACAGACCAGACAATACGGGAAACGTCGCGAGAGACAGTTTATGATACATTCGGGGTTTTACCAACATCATAACCATCTATCTTTTTGTTCGTAACAGTCACGAATTCCAGACTTTGAACATCTCTTCTGGCGTTTCAGACAATGTTATCTCCCCCGACGGTCTGCCCATTGAGAACACTATTATAGTCTACAGATCGGAATCACCATAGTGATATATACCTGAAGCGCGTAAGATGAGAGGCATGTGCAGCTGCATTCATCACACCTGTCAAAAATTTAGGAGTTTATTTCACGCCACATCGGCCGTTACCGACTTGCTTATGAATACAGAGGCTTTCTTCCACCTGCCGTAACTCGTCAGTGACGCGTTAGATAAAAGTAAGTCGTCGTAAATACCATCTCAAACGTCTTATCTGCTTCACCAGGTGTATTCGATGTCTGCAAATGATGTCTCCGATTTAAGCAAGTAGATAGTTTAGAATGATGTACTGTGTTAAAGCCCTTACTAACATGTTTCGGAAAGACTTTCTTGGAGACACTGACATTGCTACAGACACTTTGGTCAATACATTTTTACAGCTTAAAACAAAAAAAATTAACTTGAATCGAGCTTTCAATGTAATTATTTCCCCAAATCACCAGCAAGACCAGTACGTAGAAACTGAAAACATTTGGTTGATGCTGGGCTTGATTGCTTCAGCATTAGTCTATAATAAAAAAAAACAGATCACACGACCAGATGATGATGAAGTAAACCGTTGTGTCATTAATGAGCACTGAATTCAATCACTTAATGCCAATCGTCTAAATGCCTTTTATGCCCCAAAGACATTCTGAATCACAAACACAAACCGCACGTACAGTGAGGGCAGGCTTTATAATGTACATGAGTACATGGCGGATTTTGAGGAGATTATCTGAATAGACTATAAGTTGACGCAAGTCCACATGAACATGGCCACCATTGATCCATCGACCGAGGAAGTATAATGACAAAATCTCAACGGGACGATATAGTAATTTTGTCTTCCAATATACATGTAACAGTGGCAGCAGCATCGGCCTTGACTTTTATAAACTATGGGGAAATCAATGGCAAACCGAATCAAAACCCATTTTGTTCTTCCAAACATTCTGTAACGACCACTTGTAATCAAGTGTATCTAGATTGAAGTTGAAGATTGAATGGCTGCCGATAATTCATTTTTCATCTGTTTCATCCGACAAAACACACATCTGGTCATGTTCGATAAGCTGGGAGTTATGCTCACAGGCATATCGGGTAAGGCTTTGGTCTAGTTCGACTGAATCATTATGTGAAATGCTGTATCAAGGATATGTTTTTGGCGCATATGATATATTCCACGGTACGTCGGTGAAGGTAAGACATACAGGTAAATAGATACGCCAAAAACAGTTACCCAAACAACTGGATATGATTTTGGAAACGGTCAGATTAATTTGATATGATTTTGGAAACGTCGACTAGTATCACTCACGGACGGTAGTGGATACTACCTGGAACGTCTGACCGTTTCTAAAATCACATCCAGTTGCTTGAGTAACATATTTTTTTTCGTATCTTGTTACCTGGATGTCTAACCTTCACCGACACTGGCACCTCTGTTAGATCTCTAAGATACACCTCTGGTTGCAATGGCGGCTGTTAGCTCTAGATACACCTCTGTTAGCCTCCAGTGTCACTGACGAAAGGTAGTGAAATACTACCTGAAACGTCTGACCGTTTCCAAAACCATATCTAGTTGCTTTAGTAACTGTTTTTTGGAGATAAATTCCACGCTTCTAACCATCTAAAGATGAGTGTGTTTTGCCTGAAGAGTCGCCTGTGATGGAAACCTTATCCGGGCAATCATGAAAGTTGTTAGAATCAATAGTCTAAATGAATTATCAGGTTACTGGTCTCGCTTGAGGAGATATATAGTCCCCGGGGGTCTTTTGCCCTCGAATTCAAAGGCAACGTGAGGGTAAGGACTGATTTATCGAATAGCCTTTATGAGCCAAGAGCTTGGATCTTGTTATTTGTAGCTATGGTTTAAAGGTCTTCGTGTGTTTTGGTAGATTTGAAATTAATATGGACAGCGGGCAAATTGCCAGTGCACTACTATGTATATCACACTTGCATGCCAAGGACACGGTCCTCTGTCACCGTTTCAAAAAGGTTTTCTCACAGAAAAGCGACCTTTTCTTATTCATCAATCAATTTTATCCTGGAAAGCTTTCGCCTCCGGTGAAGAAATATGTGTTTAGCTTTCAGCAATTTTTCATCGTTTCTTCAAAGATTTGCCGGCAAAGAAACGATCTCTCGTGAGTGATAGGTCACGGTTATTATGTTTCGTCTACCACTCAGAGCAATTCCCAAAGCTTTTATCTCCAATAAAGACATATGCGAGTTGTCAACAGGAGAGGAGACCCAGAGAAGCTATTGAGGACAATCGTCACACAACGGTGAAAGCATATTTTGGGGGGAATTAACTTCGATCGTTTTGTATATAAGATCGAATCAAACGAAATAACTTGTGATACGGTATTCGGCACTGGGAATTCTTTCTGTCAGTCTGGGAATACTGGACCAGGGCCGCAGGGCTCGAAATTAAAGGTGGTCCAATGACCACTAAAATTTAAGCTGGAACAAGTAAAAAGACACTTTGGGACATTTTTGGGACAATAGAAAAAAATCAACATCAGAATGTCAGCCCTTCTTTTGTCAGGTACACGTACCTGCTCTTGGATCCGGAAAAGTCCCCCCGAATTTCCTGTCTACAATGAAATTATAGTGCACCTGGGAGTGAACATAAGCAAAATGAAGTTGACTTCAAATTGACGTCATACCAAAAAAAAAAAGGATTGGGGAGTTCATCCTCACTTCGGGACAATTGAAATGTATTTTTGGGACAGTGCTGGGACAATAGGAAGAAAAGTTAATTTCGAGGCCTAAGGGCCCCTCACATAGATCCAGTTTTGCTCACAACTTCGTAAAAAAAACTTATATGCTAATATTTCAGGAACATTGTAAAATCAATTTAAGGATTAACGCCACTTATTATTTATGCATCTTTGAGTATTGATATTCCAATTTTCATATTAAAAATCCTGCCACACGTAAGCACCAATATAACACTTAATTCTGTAACGCTTTTAATTTTGTCCGGTATGAAAACTGTGTTACAACTGTAAGATTATCTATGTTTTATTCATAAATGGCGAATAAACAGAATATCACGGGGGGTGTTTTCAACGTTTAACTCTAAATAGACTGAAATGGTATAGGGCCATAGTAGAAAGTGTCCTTATTTTTTCTTGTGTTTGTAAGATATAACATTAAACACATTGGTGCCGGAGAAATAGTTTTATAAGTCTTGACCATATTTTCGGTTTGTCTTTTTCACATAAAAATCTTTTGAATAGATGATCGTCTTACACATTATAGTAGGTTTGAAGAAAAAATACTGTACACATATTTGTCAGTAAGCAACTATGATAGACAAGATTTTGTAATAGACGTCTTACTCATCATCCATACTCTTGTCATAAAGATCATGTATAAATACGTAGCAGTTCAATAGTAAAAGTAATTCTTTTGCCCTTTTTGAAAAAAAAAACAATCAGAATGATACATATTCGTAAAGTGCACGTTTTATAGATATGTTACATCTTGTGCACCACTAATAACGTACAAGTTGGGACTGCTGATTTTAACAGAGGGAAGAGTGTAGAGGTCCGGTTTGTCCGAGGACTTGATAACGTTAAAAGTCTGTTCAGAGTGAACTTCCGGAACGTTCACGTCTGGAATTTCAACCTGGTTTTCTTCATCAACTTTACTCGGCCGGCCGGAGAACCGGCAACAGCAATGCGATGTTTTGCACAGTCTACTTGTCGATAACCTGTTATTTTTCTTCCTCCTTCTCTTGCAACGTATGTGTAGAAAAAACGACCCCCAAATTAGTATACCGAGAACTATGAAGCAAACTGTAGCCCCGACAATGTATTCCGTGTTCCTGCTAGTTCTCTCATCTTCCTGGGAGGCATAGTCAGAGTTCGTGGTTGGTTGTGAGTACGATTTTGTGGTGTCCACGTGCTCGTGATCATGTTCGAACGCGTTAGGCTTTGTCTCGTCCCCCTGAATAGGCGATCCTTTGGTGGCGTCGATACTAAAACCGAACATTTTCGCGCACATTTTCACGTCAAAATCCTCCGGTAGAGAGTCAGTACCCAGCGTTTTCCGTGTAGGTGTCACGGGCAGAATGATGCCAGAAATCTTTGTTAATTCTTCCGTCTCTGCGGAGTTTTCCGTGGGGCACCTGTAGACGACCGGCACGGAGTCGGAACCGTTGGGGTCCGACCCCTGCGGCCGGTGCCTCGACAGAGCCACGCGGACTCTGAACGAGCCTTTGACTACCGTCGTTCCGTTGGAGGACACCTCGTGCGAGCTCGGCACGTGCCCCGGAACGCACCGCGATTTCTCTTCCTCGTCAGACGTGACATTTGAGGAGCCAGACGCTCCACCTGTGGGAGTTTCCACACACGTCAAGTTCCCAAGCGGAACGGTGCACAGATATTGCCCGCGTAACGTTTTGGGATATTTGCAAGCCCCGCACACCCTCTGCGACTCGTTGTGAATGTGTTCCCGCAGCCATTTCGCCAACCACGTCAATCTACACGTGCATTTCCAAGGGTTTCTCTTCAGATTGACCTTTGCTAAGGAATCCATGCGCTTAAACACGCCTCTGTGCAGCCCGCGTAAGTTGTTGTCGGACAGGTCCAACTTGTACACGAACTTGAGCGCGTCAAACGCATCCTTCTCGATCGCGGACAGACCGTTGTTGGATAGAAGCAATTTTCTCAGTGTCGAAACGCTTTGAAAATCATTCCCCGTAATTGCTTTTATAGCGTTGTGGGAAATGTCCAGCTCCTCCAAGCTGTGCAGATAGCCCAGAAAAGGCACTCCTGTCAGGTTCGATCCACTAATGTTTAAGTAAAGCAATCTGGATAAGCGGCTGAATGCTCCTTTGGAAATGGCATTTAGATGAAACAGCTCGCCGAGATCCAGGGATTGCAGCAGGGGGAGGTACGCGAACGTGTTGGTTCCCAGGCACATGATGGGGTTTCTTCCTAACCGCAGCTCTCGCAAACTGGCCAGACCCGTGAAGGTATTCCATGTGACGAAGACGATCCTATTGCCGCGAAGATTCAGGGTCTTCAGTCCATTGAGTCCAGAGAAAGCCCTGTCCTGGACGCCGTGAATAAAGTTTTCACTTAGATCCAAGTCCGCCATGGCGGGGAATTTCAGGAACTGCCCAGACTCTAGTGAGGAGATATTATTCCCGTGAACCCGCAGTACTTTGGTGTTAACCGGTATGTCCTCCGGTATTTCTTTCAGACCAAGATCGTCGCAAAAGACGCGTTCCGGTGACAAGCGACAGACGCACACGGAGCACGGATGGGACTTCACTTGAACGGTAGTCATCGTATAAATCAACACGGTCCAAAAGCTTCCAGGCGTCATCGTCGATATCTTTGTCGCTGTTCTTTGACGAATAATAGTCTCTCAGTCACGCGGACTGAACCAAGATCGAATCTGAGTCTAAAGTCTTCGGATCCGGTAAGAGATGAAAACGGAAACAAAGGTGGCAGCCGCCGTACGTTCGGTGCCGACGGGTTCTTCTGCGGCTGTTTAACGGTTAAGCAATGTGAGGAGGAGGTTTGCCGGAATCGCATGACTGTATCGATTTTTTGCTTACGCCCCGCGTCATGGGTCCCTGATGGATTTATTATGAAGATCTGTAACGCCTGGCCGCGTGATGGCGTAGATAAGAGTCCGCATCGCAGAGATACAATCAGCAGCGTGTGTGGGAACCTCCATCAGCCGGCTGCGTTGATTGCGCCCGTAGGGACAGCTTTGTCGGGATGTAACGGCCCCTAACGCCGTCCCGCACGACAGAGGCGTCGGGAATGTTTGTCTTGCGGCGAGCAGAACTAATCCGAGAATACTTCCGGGGTTTGTGCAGCGGCTCAGCGTGGAGACTCCGTGTCTAAATGATAGACTTCTGGAAAAAGAAACAGGAAGGTTAACATGTGTATGGGAATACTTCCTTGCATTTTCTGTTACGCTGCCCAGTATATAATCAGCAAAGAGTCACCCTAGTCAGCAATCTGCAGAACTTGGTAGGTTCTATCTTTGATGTACATAACATGTCTGAACAATTCGTATGTAACATTTTACTTAGAGGATCACCCGATTTACACCAGATACAAACTGTAACATTTTGACAATCGAAATGATATAGTCCTGGAAAAAGTTACAAGAAGTCAACATGGATGATCAGAGAACCAACCTGTATTATCAAGAATCTCTAAACCGTGTCTAAATGATATAGTTCTGGAAAAGGAAACAGGAAACATTATTTCTTGTTTTGTACTTTGCAGTTAGATTTCTCTATCTATGTTTGTATAACGTCTGTGGTCTGCTTGTGGGTCATCTACTACCAGTTTCGACTGCCTTGATGTCCCGTGTACTGATGTGTTGTCAGTCCCCAATAAAGTAAAGTTAAGTAAAAGTCAACATGGATCATCAGCGAAACAACTTGTATTATCAAGAATATCTGAGCACAGCGTAAATTCCAACAGCATACGATTATTAGAAATATTAATTTTGTAGTCGTTATGGCAAGAATCATAGAATTAACTTGTATAATCAAGAATCTTTAAGCACAAATTCAACTCCAACAGCATAAAAATTACGATTATTTAAAAGAATATTTGTAGTCGTTGTGGTGACTTCAATAATCAGGGAATCAACTTGTATTATCCAGAATCTCTGAGCACAAAGTCAATTTCAACAACATGAAAGTTAGGATTATTTGTAGCCGTTATGACGACTTTGATAATCAGGTAATCAATCTGTATTATTAAGAATCTTTAAGCATAAAGTCGATCCAACAACAACATGAAGATTATTAAAAAAATTGCAGTCGTTATGGCGACTTCAATAATCATGGAATCAACTTGTATTATCAAGAATCTATGAGCACAAAGTCAATTCCAGCAGCATAAAGGTAAAGGTTATTTTTAAAAAAGTATCCGTAGTCGTCATGTCGACTTTAGCAGGTAATGGAGGCGCCGTCTTTAGTTCTGAAAAGAAAACTGGAAGTCAATTTCGATGAAGCAGAGAGTATTGAGAAACCTGCTATATCAGATAAATTTATTAACCACATCTTTTTGTAGCACGAAAGTAATCCAAATAACAAGACTACATGTCAGGAATATTTAGTGACTATCTGTAGTAGACTTGGCAAATTCAACACAGTATTTTGATGTTGAAAAATTGGAGTAATGTTAACTCGCAATCCCAAACCCTTTCTCTATAATATAAAAGATAACGTTTGCCAGTAGCTATAGACACAGGTATAGACGGGCATGGTTTATCAGTAGATCCCAGTGCCGTGTGTGCGAGTCGACATGCTGAGTAGATGATGGATAATACAATATAGATGTGTATAGAAGAAAGACTCATTGCAACAGCTAGACGCTCCCGTGATACCGATGTTTAACCCAATATATGTTGGTGAATATAGATCTTTGTAGAAATCTTTTTTTACCGGACATAAATGCAGGCATATCAGTATTTAGCATGGTATTCAACCTTCTATCTTTAATAAATATCTTACTATTATCTTAATACAACACGCTATCAATCAGCTGGGTAGACTCAAACGTTTCAGATAGTATCCACCAACTTTATTCAGTGCCTGATGAAAAATGGTGAATGCTACCTGAAAGATAGGGGATGTTATCTAAAATGTCTGAACGTTTTCTTCTTTTCAAAATCAGTTCCTTGATTTATTTTGTATCAAGTAATGTTCTATCTGGAGTTCTGAACTTCACGGACGTAATAACCATACGGCACGTTTTCGTTTTTCGAAAAAATAGGACCCAATAGTTGGATGGAGCATTAAGAGAGTGTCTGACCAGTACATCTAGTCTCTGCTATGTATCATTTTGCATCAAACATACAAGACTGAACTGAAAATTACCTCCACGTCTGGGTAAACTGCACTGTACACTGTGAATGTCTATGTACACCTTTACACATTCAAGCTTTAAAGTGTGCTTAAAGGTGGGATTTTGTGCAGTGCAAACCCAAGTTCTTAATTTTAGACAAACTGTAAAACTTGATACTGACGAATGTGAGACCATCCTGTCCACACAGACTCACACATAACTCTGCACGGTTTTAAGCACACATTGAAAATGGACTCAGACTGCACTGTACACTGTCTATGTGTACCTTAATACATGCTTTAAAGTGTGCTTAAAGATGGGATTTTGTGCAGTGCAAACCTGAGTTCTCAACTTTAGCAAACTGTAAAACTCTAGACTGATGAATGTTAGACCATCCTGTCCACCCAGACACCCACATAACTCTGCCGGTTTTTACGCACACACGCGCGGAACTCTATAGTTTTCCATTACACTCAGGTCTGACCCTGTCACTACAGTAAAACTAAGTTATGACAGTAGGAGACAATTTGCAGCGGTCTGCTGGGCTCCCAACATCATGAAGAATAGCCTCGCTTTTGTCAACCAGACGATAGGACGCAAGCGATATCCATCCTTAATACTCTGTAGATAGTTAATTATACCCAATCGGGAAGATCTTAATTGAAATAGACGTCTTTCCATTCAGTTCCTGGCAGTAAGTCAAGCTGGCGTTGGTGTGCAGAGAGGAAAAACATCGCTGATGACGTCAATCAGCTCCAACTCTATGATACGTGTGTGACAGTTGTGAGGCGGCGATGTCGGCACTTTTAGTTAGATCTACTGGAAAAGGCAATCCACAGCTTTTAGGTTCCTTTCACGCGGCAATCATCTGATTATCTGCAGTTATTTGATTTGCCTCCGCATCTTTTATGGAAATAAAGTGGATGCGGTGTGAAAGCTCCCACGCTTACTGAACTTTGTCGTGCGTAGTAGTCTTAAATCCTTCATTGTACTGCGAAATAAAGTGTTTTTATCTTTCATGAATGAGGCAGAACACAGCATTGAATAGAATAAACGATTTCTTCACATTGCTTGCCCATGATACAGCAGTAGGTGAGAGGCTGCCTCATCGGGAACAGTTGATGAGGAAAATCTACAACCCTCAAACCGTTACAAGAAACGAAATACATAAATTAAGCTTTATAGCAAGGAAAACTAGAACATAATTGGATGCTATAAAACCAGGAGCATTACAGCCTATAGATCTGTGAAAACATCTATTAGTATGGGGAAAAATTACAACACAAAAACCGTTACAAGAAAATTAAAAGAAAAATTACAGTTTTAACAGGGAAAGCTAGAACATAATGGGATCCTATAAAACACCATTTATGTTACTACATACATGTATATCACTGATGTAAGAGTGAGCAGTCAAAGGGAATTATGCGTATTGTCAGTCAGCAGTAGTACATTCTCTCCAAGCCGACGACCGCAGATATTATTTATTACAACATAGCCACCTAAAACCCATTCATTTCATTCACGCCAGGCACTATTGTTTGTTAGTCTTCGTTTTCATAAAAACACGCCCAGTAATCCTGTAAGCTATGCCTAAAGATTTAATAGAAGAAAGCTTTCCTTTGGTGATGCTCCAACTCATCCTCGAGACGTTTGTATAATGTAACAGCACTTACTGTACGGGTCAGTAATAGAAGGAAATCCATTATGTCTTTACCTGCATTCTAAAGACAGCCCGTTGAAAGCTATAAACCACTGAGACTATAATAAATGACTGCTGTTCTTAATCGCTTTAGGATAGTAAAACATGAGTTAAACCTGTGTTATATGGACTTGGGGGATTACTTTACTGGCTCGTAATAATATTACAGTTACCTTCACCTTGTTCTTAATTCTTTTTAGTGCTGTATTAAAAAAAATATTACAAAATGTCATTTTGTCGTTGTGATTTGTCGTTTCAGTTTGCAATCAATGAAATGGACATACAATATTAGGTTTAAAATCGGTTATTTGGTGGCTTATGTCGTAAAACCTTCTACTGGTGTTACAAAATTGGAAGCATATTTCTAATATTCGTCTATTGATAAACAGACAACTTCCAAACGGTTCAACCTTTTTTTAAAATTTTTCTTACTACTGTGGTAAAACATTAAAATTATTTTTTCGTCGAGATTTCTCATTTTAGTTACTAGTCGACTAGTCATGGAAATGAACATACAGTATTAGCTTTTAAATCGGTTACTCAGTGGCGTATGTTGCACGGATGCCATTAAA